TGGTTTTCTTTTAAATGTTAAAAAAAATTAAAAAATTAGGAGAGTTTAGGGTGGTTGAGTTATCTCGGATTTCTTTTTTATGATCATAAAGTTAGGGTTGAAATTAAAGTCTGAAGTTTAAACTAAAAAGAAGTTGAAACTTTTTTTGTTTTAGGGATTTCATAATTTAAACCTTATAATTACCCTATCAGATTTAGCATAAAGGAGAACAAAAAAAAAAGAAAAAGATATACACAACAAAAAAGCAGAGAAAAGAATAAAAAAAATTATTAAGAGTTTTTTTATATAGTCATTTCAAGTATTTTGGGTTTAGATAATTAGGATTTTTTTTTAGAGTTTTGTGTTGGAGAAAGAAGTTGAAAAGAAACACAAAAGGGAGATATTCATCAAAAGTTTTGGTAGCAAAATTTTCGAGGGTTTTGGAGAAACAAGAAAAAAGACAAGGTAATTTTTACTTTTTTTCCTTCTTTATTTGTATATTTATTTGTGTTAGTTGTTTCTCTTTCTTCTTTATTTAAAATAAATTTTCAATCCTACCAAATGATTGGGGGATTTTTTTTTTTTAATTATAAATTCTACCAAATGATTGAAGAATTTCATAATAGATTTTAAGAAAAAATAAAATAAATTTGTAATTTTATTAAATGATTGGAGGATTAAAATTCTTATTAAATCTTACTAAATTATTGGATGATTTAATGACTTTTATATTTTTAAACATTTTTCAAAAAAAGATTTTCAATAAAAAATCCCACCAAACATTTAGGGGATATGCATTGATATAAATCTTATCAAACGATCGGAGGATTTTATTTATTTATTAAAAAAAAGATTTCTTAGAAAATATATTAATGAATTCGATGACAGAACCTCTTTAGAGTGGGACATGAGTCTCTATATATACTCTTAAGGTGAGAAATTATCTTAAATTGCTACCAAACTATTGGAGTAATTTTAAGAACAATTTTCAATATTAAATAAATGAAAAATACATTTTAAGGCTTGGATATTATGAAATCAAACTGGAACCATCATTTGATGGGCATTAGGGTGCTGTAACTTTTCTCATGGGTAACCGTACTCCCGCATCTAGTCTTGACTTCGTAAACATAAAATTTACCTTTTAAAAATACCTAAGTTAAGCTTGAGATTTCTCTTTAAAAAGGTATAGATTCAATTAGGTAACCAATCGCACCTAAACAAAAAAGATTGATAGTGACTCCTAAAGTCAAGTCTAGCTATAATTTAATGGATTTATATGTTATGACATGGATTTCTTTTCAAATGAATGTAAGAATCTTTTATGAATATTATCATTCATTTATTTATCATCATTTCAATTTTATGACAAATATAATGCAATCATACATCTCCTCAATTGGTTTTAGGGATGCAAAAATTGATAAAGAACAAGAAAAATTAGAGTAAATGGTTATTTATTATTGAAAGGAATAAAAGAAATCTGATCAAGAATATATCAAAGATGAATAAAAGTAAGTCACTGTAACTGTTTGGTTGGGATATCAACAACCAAATAATGAATATTCAAACAATTTTGAATTCTAATTTAGAATTCTTTCTCAAAACTCATTTTATTGAATTCCTAAATCATTGAACTTATCGAACCTTGCCCCAATTCAGTAGAATCTTCAGATAATAGTGATATTTTCAACTCATATATATATTTACCCAAATCACTTTTTCGGGTTTCAGTTTGAATCTTTCGTTTTCCTCCTTTTTATTTTATCATATCTTTCTCATTTCTTATTTTTCTTTTTCCTTTTCATTTCTTTTTCTCATTTCTCATTTTTTATTATTCTTTTTCTTTTCATTTTTTTTCCTTTCATTCATTATTGACATCCCCATCTAGTTTCAAACCAATCCCAAAATACTATAACAGATCATGATCTCATTGTCCTATTACAAGCATGCCTTAGTTCTATTTGACTTTTCAATTCAAGCATTCATATTTGATCAAAATGGACATTTAAAGAACATAACGTAGGCTAAGGTGATGGGTTATGAAAAGAAAAAAGATAAAACAGGCTCAAAACATGTGCTTGAAAGGTTATGAACCAAATGATTATTTCATTATTTGAAGCATATTGGCAATTTACTTCTTTCTTTACATTTCCTTTTCCTTTTCATTTTTTCCATCTTGTTATTTTTCACATCCTTTCTTTTTCATTAGTTTCTCTTTAAGAAGAATATATTCACATAGAGTTCCTTTTACTTTACCCCTCAGATCATTTATGGCATTTGTCTTTCTTTTAATGAAGGGGTTTTTTAAATCTTCATCCTTGAGACCTTTTACAATTTTTTTTTATAAACAAATCTTTCCTAAAATTTGTCCTTTAATGTGAAGAGTGATAATTGGTTAAGGTTTTTTAGAAAAAGAATCATGATAAACTCAAGGGGGTAACAATGAACAGATTTCATTTTCTTAAAATGTAAAGAAAAATGATCATTTTTCATCTTAAATATAAGTATTTTCTTTGAAGACAATTTATTAAACATAGACTTACTTGTGGATAAATCATCATAAAGGACCACATGCTTATGAGACATCTTTATTTTGCTTTTCAATGAGTGGTTAAACAATCTTCACAACTTGCTTTTAAACTTTTTTTACACAACTCACATAACTAATTTTCACAGATCAAGTTTATCAATATGAATGAGTTTTCAAAATTGAATCCATATTATAATCATTATTGTTTGAACATTCGCTATTTAGAATATGAGAATCGGTAAAGGAGAAGATATGGGAAGATAAAATCATATAATGATGATTCACTTGAAATAGGAAATGTTATAAAAATGCATCCTATTTGCTATTTTTATTAAAATTATAAAAAATAAAATAAAATCCTAATACATAAAAGAAATCTTAGCATTATTTAAAAAAAAAAAATCTTAAAATGACAAGTAGCTTTAGACAACTCCAACTATCCTTATCATTATTAAAATTATGCCTCCATGTGTTTAGGTAAAAGGTTTTTACTAATATTTAGCCCATCTGGCTTATCAAAACTCACCAAGCCTACTTTAATCAAGCTTTGCACCTTGTGCTTAAAAGTAGGGCAAGTTTCTATAGAATGATTCACATTCCCAGTGTGATAATCATAAGTGGCATTAGCATCATACCATTTTGGATGGGGTGGCTTCAATGGTTTTAGAATAACTGAAGATACCAAGTCGTTCTTGACCAGTTCTGAGAATAGCTTAGTGTAGTTTATAGGGATATGATCAATGTGAGCTCTTTTTTGGTTGTTCATAGATCTTCTCAAACCACTCGCTTGGTTATTAGGCTTTGAAGCTAGTGTAGTGATAGGACTAAACCCATATTTAGTGTTTAAAAGGTTGGTTGGTAAATGGGTGGGTAAACTGGATGTGGAATAGGTTTGTAAGGGGCGATACTATCTATTGCAAGGTAGTAAGTAGGATAACCCGATGGTGGATATTGTTATCCTTGGATTGATAAAATATTTTGAAATAACAAAACAAAAATTTGATAAAATTGAATTAAAATGATTTGAACTTAATTTGAATACTTTTTCAGCTTTTAATCTAGTCAAAACATGTTTAAATTCATCTAGCATGGTTTAAAAATAAAATTTGGCAAAGTAGTATAGAAGGGATAGATCCCCTCTTAAGGGGATCAATTGATTTTTAAGCTAGAATGCTTACTGGAACAAATTCATGAAAACCAATCGATCCTCTCCTTGTATAGATCGATTGGTTCGAGGTTTTGGTGGATAGGATCGATCCCCACTAAAAGGGATCGATTGGTTTTTTTACCTAGAATAAACTTTTGGCTCAAGGATTGGTAAAGGGATCGATTACCTAGACTATGGGATTGATCTCCTAAAGAAGGGATCGATTGGTAGCAAAAAGGATTGATTGGTTCTATCTTTTCATACATAAAATTGCCTTATTTTTGACTAACCCAATCAATCCCCCTAAAAGGGGATCGATCCCTTCTTACCTAGAAAGCCTTGATAACTATTTTCTTATCTAAAATTTTTACAGCTTTGAAGCATTAAATGCAACCAACAACTATATCTTTCTTTCTACATATAAATGAAGGTCTCTACTGCAATTGAAGAGTAAGGAAAAGCCAAGAGAACTTATTGCTTCTATCTACCATCTTTTTCAAGCATTAAACTAGTTTGAGAGAGAAAAGTGCAAAAATTTCACATTGTATCAATTTTTCTCTTAATCTTCTTCTTAATATTGATTTGTACATCAAGTTAGCAAACACCCAACCTTAAAAGAGATTTTTTGAGTATGCAAAAAACTTTAAAAAATTTGTATTGTGAGATTGTGAGCTTAAAGGGGAGGATAACCCTTAAGAGTTTGTGGTGTTTATTGTATAGAGCTTTGAAGAGCAAGCTTGTAACTTTTAACATATAGTGGATTGAACTCCTTAGCAAGTGAGGATAAGGGAAAGGACATAGGTGCCTAAAGGAAGAGCTGAACCTCTATAAATCTTGGTGTTTAATTCTTTATATCTATATCTTATTTTTAAGATTTTTAGTATACTTACATTTGTTGTGTTTATTTACTTAGAAAAATTAATTTGCAAAATTTGTGCTTACTAGGTATTGATTCTAAAAAATTTATTATCAACCAATTCACCCCTTTCTTGGTTACTTCAAGTATTTGAGCTAATAATTGGTATCAGGGCTAGTACTCATTTTTTTTGAGGTCTAACAAACTAAGAATGATCCTGAAAATGGCTTAAAGAAAATATGGTAATCAATGTGGAGCAACCATCCTTAAACGATAATAAATACAGTAGGCAATAAGAAATGTGTCTCATGGCAAATGAAATGGTTGCTATATTTCTTGTAAGTGAAGGCCATTCAATTGTAAGACCTTCTCTCTTTGTTGGTGACAACTACTCCCATTGGAAGACTAAGATGAGATTGTTTATTCAAGCCAATAATTATAAAGTTTGGAAGGTTATTGTAAATGGTCTTTAAATTCTAATGAAGATGGTGGATGGTAGAGAGGTGATCAAGCAAAAGAGTCAATGGGATGTCAATAATATGAAGATGGCTCAACTCAATGCCAAAGCAATGCATACACTTTTTTGTGCATTGGGGCCTAATGAGTATAATAGAATTTCTTTGTGTGAAAATGTAAAGGAAATTTGGGACAAGTTGGCAATCACTCATAAAGGTACCAATCAAGTGAAAGAGACCAAAATTGGCATGCTCACTCATGATTATCAGTTATTCAAGATGAAATCAAATGAAACTGTTAGTGAAATATCAAACCGCTTCACCAACATCATTAATGGTTTAAATGCTCTTGGGAAGACTTACTCAAATGTGGAGGTGGTGAAGAAAATTCTAAATAGTCTACCAAAGAGCTGGGAAGCTAAAGTGATAGCCATTGAAGAGTCCCAAGATTCTCACACGCTTTTTTTGGATAAACTCATAGGCTTTTCCTTACCTATGAGTTGAAGCTCAAAAGGGGACAAGAACCAATCAGGAAAGGTGGCATTACTCTCAAATCAACCTTTTAAAAAGATGAAAAATTTTTTGAACAAGATAAGGTTGATGAAGATGAAGAAATGGCCATGTTCATGAAAAGGTTCAAGAAGTTCATGAGAATGAACAAGTTCTATAATAGAAGAAGATCACAAAGGGAAATGATCAAAGGAGAATCAAGTAGAAAAGAAAAGGATCAAATTATTTACTATGAATGCAACAAACTGGGTCATATCAAATTCGATTATCCTTTGTGGAAGAAATAAAACATAATGAAGCCAAAGAAGATGGCAATGGTTGCAACATGGAGTGATAGTGATTTCTCCAATGATGAATCAAATAAGGAAGAAGTAGCCAACTTATGTCTCATGGCTCTTAATGAGTCCAAGATAATTTTTAATCCATATGATTTAAATTCATACACATTTGATGAATTGTAAGATGTGTTTGATGAATTAGCCATAAAATTTGAAAGCATAAACATGAAATATAGGAAAATGATTTCTAAGTTGAAATTAGAAAATGAGCTCTTGACTAAAGCAAAGACTGACTTAAAAAAGGAAATTGAGCTTTTAAAATTGAATTTTAATGATATGCCTAAGAAAAATGAGAATTTGCATAACTCATTTTCTAGCTTTTATATGGGACATTAAAAACTCAATGACATACTTGAAACACAAAGAGCATTTTTTTTATAAAGATGGATTAGGCTATAATGGTGATAACAAAGAGACTCATTTAAACAATTTTTTTGTTAAGCCAAATGATTCATTTAGCACATATACATATTGTCATAAATTGGATCATTCGATATAATATTGTTCTTTGAAGAAAGTCACTTATAGAGGTAAACTTATTATGAGTGTGTGGATTCCAAAAGGAGTTTGCACATCTTAAAATGAGATTACAAAAATGAAGTGGATTCCAAAAAGTATAAAAATTGTAAGTACTAACACTCAAGGACCCATGAGAGTTTGGGTACCCAAAATAAAAATTTTCTTATGCTTTTATAGGTGGATGAGTATTGCTACAAGGCAAATTCAAGCAAGAGCAATCCATGGTACCTTGATAGTGGATGCTCAAAACACATGACCATAGACAAGACTCTTTTAAGGACTTAAAAGCTAAAAATGGAGGAGATGTTACATTTGGTGACAACTCTAAAGGACAAATTGAAGGGATTGGCTCCATTGGTAACAATTCTTTTGTTGCTATTAAAAAAGTTTTACTTGTGAAAGGACTTAAGCATAAATTACTTAGTATTAGTCAATTATGTGACAAAGGACTTAGAGTTGTATTTGAATCCATATGCTGTCAAGTGATTGACATCAAGACTAATAAACTTGTTTTTATTGGACATCATCAAGGAAATATTTATGTGGTGCATTTGGATGATCTATCCTCTAAAAATGTTTGTTTTATGGCTCCAAAAGAAAATGAAAGTTGGATTTGGCATAAAAGACTTGGAAATGCAAGCATGCAAGTAATTTCAAAACTTTCTCAAAATGATTTGTTTGTTGGTTTACCAAAATTGAAATATGAAAATGACAAGGTTTGTGATGCATGTGTTTAAAACAAACATAGAAAAATCTCTTTCAAACCTAAGAATTGTATTTCAACTACTAGACCTCTTCAACTCCTTTATATTGATCTTTTTAGTCCTACTAGGATAATAAGTCTTGGTGGAAAACAATATGGGTTTGTTATTATTGATGATTTTACTAAATATTCATGGGTTCTCTTTTTGCATTCAAAGAATGAAGCTTTGGAAAAATTCATCACTTTTAGAAAGCAAATATAAAATGAGAAAGGCTCTTCAATTTCTAGTATTAGAAGTGATCATGAAAAAGAATTTAAAAACCTTGGCTTTAATGTGTTTTGTAGTGAAAATGGTATTCGCTATAATTTGTTTGCTTTTAGAACTCCTTAACAAAATGGGGTAGTAGAAAGAAGAAATAGGACGTTAGAAGAAATGGCTAGAACCATGCTTTGTGAAAATAATTTACCTAGATATTTTTGGGCGAAAGCCATAAATACCTCTTGTTATATTATAAATAGAACTATGATTAGGCCAATCTTGAAGAAAACTCCCTATGAACATTTTAAAGGAAAAAGGCATAACATAAGTTATTTTCATCCTTTTGGTTACAAATGTTTTGTTATTAACAATAGAAAAGATAATCTTGGAAAATTTGATGCAAACAGTGATGAAGGCATTTTCCTAGGATATTCTTTAAATTCAAAAACCTATAGAGTCTTTAATAAAAGAACATTAGTTGTTGAAGAGTCTATATATGTTATCTTTGATGAATCTAATCCACCTCCGAGAAAGGTGCTTCTTGATGATGATGATGTACATATACTTCAATAATACATCAATGATGCTTCACATTACATTGAGGTGAACATTCAAAAAGAGGATGATGAGTTTCTATAGGAGCCATAACATATAGAGCAAGAACCAAATCACCATAAAAAATGAAATATGTCAAAGGTAGTGAGATTATTAGTGATCCAACTCAAAGATTATAAAGGGAAGGTTAATGCTACATTTTTTATTAAAACAAAAGGAAAGGACATTCTCATAGTGCAAGTTTATGTTAATGATATTATATTTAGTGCTACTAATGAAGTTCTTTGTTAAGAATTTGCTAAGACTATGCAAGGTGAATTTGAAATGAGCATGATGGGAGAGCTTACATTTTTCTTGGGATTACAAGTAAAGTAAACAAAAGATGCTACATTTATCAATTAAGCCAAATACATCAAGGATTTACTCATAAGATTTGGATTGAAAAAATCAAAGCCTTACTCAACACTTATGAGCACTTCAACAAAACTTGATAAGGCTGGAGGAGAAAAATGTATTGATTCTAAATTATATAGGTCTATGATTGGTTAATTGTTATATCTTACTACAAGTAGACTGGATATAATATTTAGTGTGTGTTTATGTGCTATATTTCAATCATCACCTAGAGAATCACATTTATCTACTACTAAAAGAATTTTTAGATACCTTAAGGATATTCCTAATTTAGGATTGTCATATCTAAAAAGTTCATGTTTTGCTTTGCATGCCTATTTTGATGCAGATTTGATGGTTGTAAAATTGATAGAAATAGCACTTTCTGTATTTGTCAACTGTTTGAGAATATGCCCATATCATGATTTTTCAAGAAACAAAATAGTGTTGTTTAATCCACAATTGATGTCGAATATATAGCGGCTGGTAGTTGTTATGCTCAAGTTTTGTGGATTACGTAATAATTAAAGGATTTTAGAATTACCATGGATCACATTCCCATTAAATGTGATAATACTAGTGCCACCAATCTCACTAAAAATCCAATTCAACATTTAAGAACCAAGCATATTGAAATTAGGCATCATTTCATTAGAGATCATGTTCGAAAAGGTGATATTGTGCTTGAATATGTTGATATCTTGCATCAATTAGCTAATATTTAAAAAAAACCTCTTGATAAAGATAGATTTAATATAATTAGAGGTGAACTTAGTACGATGAATGCTCCTTGAAATGAAATTCTTGATGATATGATGAATGTTGACATTTTGTTTGACTAAATGGGTGCTTATCTTGACATGTTTTTTAAACCTTATGTAAGATTATATGTATGATGCATATTTGAGTACTCATGTTGTATGGTTTTAAATTTTTTAAAAAAAAATTAGAAAAATTTGCTATAAAGAAATCGATTGATCCCCTTTAGACTAGATCGAATGATTTTCTATCTAGTAGCTAAAATCGAGTTTGAAAACATGGGACTCGATTGATCCCCCTTGGTACCCGATCGATCAATCCATGCATCATTAAAGGGCACCAAGGCTTAACCCAATCGATCCCCCTTGGTACCTAATCGATGAGGTCATGTGAAAATTCCCTATGCGCACTATTTTGTCCACTTAAAATATAGACTCCTTTCTTCATTTTGGCCGACTATAACATTTTCTTTTTCTTCTCTTCTTCTTCTCAAAACACTTTTTCCTAAAACCCTAGGTAGTCTTGCTCTATTTTCTTTCAAAATTTATCACTTTCAACCAAAATATTTTGCAAATTGCTTCATTTCCTATTTGATTTCTTGTAAAAATCTTCCTTAAAAATATTCAAATCACATAAAAATCTTCACTCATACTTCTCACTCTAAAAAATTGATCCCTTTTTGTGACTCTATTGAAACTACCTCATTCACTCAATTTTCTTGCCTTTTTCCAATATATTCTACTACTTCTCACCTACATTCACAAATTCCTTCATCAATTTCACATAAGCCTACTTATTTTCACTATTCCATTGTTTCCATGGCACCTAAAACTAGACCTCCTCTTGCCACAAGGAGAAATCCACTAAGGGAAGCCTCTAGTTCTTTAATCAAGCCTTCTTTCAACCAAAATTTTGAAAATCCTACAGCAAAAGAGACATATGAGACTCATTTTGCTCATAGAGAAGTCAAGTAAGAAAGGGTAATCAATTTTAATTTCCTTCAATCTATTGGATTTCCACACTTACTTGTTTATGAGAATTTTGGTTAGATAAACTATTTTAGTATGGATGGCATTGTCTTTGAGAATCTTGTAAGGGTATTTTATAGTAATGCAAGTTGTATTAAAGTTGATGAATATGGGAATAGGTATTGTATTGATAAATTTAGGACAATTGTGATGGGTAAAGAAATAATTGTGGACAAGAACTTATTGGTTAAAACTTTCATGTCAGAAGATAATGGAAACACAAACACTAGATGTAATATGCTTGGATTAGCCCAAGATATTTTGAGGATGATGATTTACGGATTGATCAAACTCAGGTTTCTAGATTGAACATGCATGATAGATTGCTTTATCTTATAGTCATACGTGTTATCACCATTTGGAACTCAATACTCCATTAGGAAATAAGATTATTGGTGGATGTATAAGATCAAACATGAGGAGAAACCCAATCTTGTGCA